GTCTCAGGAACCCCTACAACCCTAATGACTCCTTTGAACAGTGTGATAGAGGTTATAGGTGCATACAGGTTCAGGATTGTTATTTTCCGGGTGAATTATTCCTTTTGTTCCTGTAAATTGACCTTTTTATGCCTATAAAATGACCTTTTTACTCTTAGAAATGTTTTTGTTTTAAAGATAATTAGATCTTATTTATTGTAAAGATAATTAGGTCTTAAATGTTTTATAAAGATAATTAGATCTTATTTTAATATAACTATACTGTCTTACCTTTGGTAAGTATATCTTTCATTGTGGCCTAGTCTTTCAAGGGTCTTGGTTTTATTAGGGCGATTCAGTTTTAGCTCCTAACCTTATATCGGTCCAGTGCCATGTTTTCTATTATGTTTGGATTTGAAAACCTGAGCCCCCTAGCCATTCGGCCAGTTTCCCTGTTCTGTCTCCCAGGGCTCACCTACTGATCTGCCTCTTAAGTGTCTCTTTCATTTCTGAACCTAGAGGATTTTTTCTTTACTTTGCATCTAGCTGTGTGATATTTTTTTCCCCTAATTTATCCAGCATCTCTTTGTGTTTGTAGCAGGGGAAGGGTTTTGGGTCAAGGGCCTCGGTAGTAGTGATGAAAGTTTGTTTTCCAATGCACAGTTTGCCATTTTGCTGGAATGGGAATTCTCTGACACTTTAAATCGTAGACTTTCAACTTTGGCTACATATTGGAATATGGGAAGCTTTAGAAAGTATAGATACCTGGGTCCACTGCCAGAAATTTATTTAATTGATTTGGAGTGAGGCCTTGGCATTGGGATTTTTTTTTTGAGACCAAGTTTTGCTCTTGTTGACCAGGCTGGAGTGCAGTGGTACAATCTTATCTTGGCTCACCACAACCTCCGCCTCCCAGGTTCAAATGATTCTCCTGCCTCAGCCTCTCAAGTAGCTGGGATTACAGGCATGTGCCACCACACCTGGCTAATTTTGTATTTTTAGTAGAGACGGGGGTTTCTCCATGTTGGTAAGGCTGGTCTCCAACTCCCGATTTCAGGCGATCACCTGCTCGGCCTCCCAAAGTGCTGGGATTACAGGTGTGAGCCACTGCGCCTAGCCAGCATTGGGACTTAGACTTTAGCAGTAACCAGCTCTGTAATATGCTGAGACTTAGGCTTAGGAGAAAGTTGTTTTACTGGGAAGCGGAGGAAAATATTTTTAGTATGTCTTGCTACTTCTCATATTTTCAAAGTCCAGTTGTGATTTCAGGTGGATTTGTATGTCAGCCTAGTAGATCAGGTAAAGTAATTTTCCTCTATGTCTACTGTGTATTCTCTGTGACTTCTAGGCTTTAGAGGCTTGGAGTAGGATGAATGGGTCTCTAAATTAGACTTTTCTCTGGCTGTGACAGAAATGTTGGACATTTTGTTAGTTTAAGATGCTTAAATACAGTGTATTTACAGAGGTTTGGTTTTGATTCACTGCTTTTCTTGACCCTTTTTCAAGTTTTCCATAAATGGTGCCTATTGATGAGTAATAAAAATGTTATGGGCAGAAACTTGTGTTCTGTATTAATGAAAAGTCAAGAATGTCTGTGATATTTGTTTTAATTTTAGAAGGAATGTGTAACTTTGGGGCAACAGTGACATGTGAGAAATGGCATTAAGCCGTAAAAAAACAAAAACTCACTCTTCTTGTTACTTAAGAGAGGTTGGAGGATTGAGCTTTTAGAGCTGCTGGCTTGCTTGATGTTCTTTGTGGTGGAGTAAAAAAGTTCTTTAACTGGGGACTATATTGATTTCCAGATATTTAGTTATGAATCTTTTCCCTAAAAGTTAGTTGTCCTGTTTGAGGGCAGACTGTGGTGTTTTTATTGTCCAGTGAATCATGCTATTCTGCTTTTACTCCTGGAAACTATTCTACAGATTGCACTTTTGGTTTCAAAAGGGAAACATGTATTGATTATCTGGGGAATTGATCAGGAAAAGTAGTCATTCGAAGTGCAGGCTCTGCTACAAATGGATTATTGTGTCTTCACTTATGAAAGACTAAAACTTAATAAAACATGATTTGAGTAGGTGATATGTATATATGGCTTTAAAAATTCAAATAGCACCAAATGGCGTATGGTACACAGTAAGCCTTCTAAGTATCACTAGTGCTGAATTATACTGATACGATGTGCTTTTCTTATGATGTGATGAAAATGACACCTTTTATGATTTTCCTTACAAAATGCCCTGACACCAGTCTAACAATGAGAAAAACATTGTACACATTCCAGTAGAGGGGCATTCTACAAAGTACTTAACCATTACTCCTCAAAACTGTCAAGATTCTCTAAAAACAAAGAAAGTGTGAAAAACTGTCACAACCAAAAGGAACCTAAGGAGACATGGCAGCTAAATATAATATGGTGTCCTGGGCAGGATCCTGGGACTGAAAAAGGACATTAGGTAAAAACTAAAGAAATCTGAATAAACTGTGGACTTTAATCATGATATATTAATATTGGTTCATTTATTGTAGCAAAAGTACTGTACTAATTAATATAAGATGTTAATAATAGGGGAAACTAAGTGTGAGGTGTGTGGGAACTCCTAGGCACTAGTTTCTCAACTTCTATGTAAATCTAAAACTGTTCTAAAACATAAAGCCTTCTTCCGTTTATGAATCCACAGTACCCTGATCCAAAGGGAATTACTTGTTGCCATTTTCTTGTGAGTCCTTTGAGAGAGATTTTTTGCCAGTATAAACATGATGTATGTCTCTGTGTCTTGTTTTCCTTTTAAAGAAAATACAAATGGCCACATACTATGTTTAGCATTCATTTTTAACTTAATAATGTATTTGGAGATAGTTCCATATCGACATGTATGTTCATTAGTATTCATAGTATTTTATGGTTTAGATATACCACAGCTTAACTGGTCTCCTTTTGATGGATAATTAGATTGTTCCTATTCTTTGACTGTAATGTATTAGTTTATAACCCTGACATTTGGAATAGAGTTAGGAGGTGGGGAGTGGGGATTGGGGAAGAGAAAGGGAACAGTCTAGTATTTTTTTTAAGTGTTTGGTTGACATTCTTTCTTTCTTTTTTATGTTCTTTTTTTTTTTTTTTCTTCCAGAAGAGGATTTGAGGCAGGTCGTCTCCTCAGTGCTTATGTAATAGTTGTTAAAAATTTGTATAGTTATTTAAAATCTATTTGAAGAATATCTCCTCCTATTTGAAGAATGCCTCCTATGTACTGATCATAATGCTAAGTAACTACAGGTGACTATAGTAATATATTAAGTTACAGGCCCAGATTTAGCTTATGGTGAAATAAGAGAGACAGACCTAGAAATATGATCATGTAATACATTATGCTAACATTATAGTACAGCCTTCTGTAAAGACACAGAGGAGGGAGTGACTAAACTATTTTTTCTTCCCTCCCCACTTAGCTTTTAGATGAGCTCAGAAAAGGGAGTTGGAAGTTAGTGATTGACTCAGTTGGATGATCTTTGTCACAAAGGAAAGAGAATGTCCTCTGTTCTCTCCTGTTTGTAGCTACTAGAATCTGAAACTAGGTTGATGGAGTAAAGCAAGCTGGCTTGTACTCTAAGTCAGTCTCCAGGAGAACAACCTATAAATTGCTTGGGCTTATAAGCAGTGGAAAATACTCAGTAACATGATTTCCTTATGCTTCAGTATATATTCAGGAAGGCATTGTATACTGTGGTATGATGCTGCTGCTGCACACAGTTATGGAACCCTTGTTCATTGTTTGCCAGGGAATGATTATATCTAAACATGGAGGATAAAGGGGAGTGCTGTGCTTTTCATTGGCTCCTTTTCATGACAAATAAGACGTTCTTCCATGAGCTGGACTTGCTTTTCTTTCTTGTGTAGCTTCAAGGGCTGCCTTTCTTTTGCTTATTTGATTACATTTACTTTTAATTACAAAATGACTATATTTCCACAGGGCATTCAAACACTGTTCCCCTAGACTTCAATTCCATTAATGTCCCAAAAATCCCATTTGGCAAAGGAGAGGGGTGTGTTTGTGCAACATTAATGGTGTCATGTAAAATGCACTGGTCTCTTATTTGATCTGTTTATTTAATAATGTTTGTTAGCATTTCATGTCACAGTATGTTGATTAATATTCATTTCATGGATGTAATAGAATTAATTTAAGCTTTCTTCTATTGTTGGCTGTGACTAGTTTTTGTTTTTTATTACAAACAGTGCTGCAGCAGAACCCCCTTGTACGTTCCTTGTAAATTCTGAGAATTTCTCTAGGTTATCAAGAAATGGTTTTGCTACTCTTAGGATTTGGGGATTTTAAATTTTGCCAAAAATTTGTTTTTGCTAAGAAAAACAAAACTCCAAGTTGTAGATTTGAATGGATAGTATAATACGATTTACATTGGGAGAAAAGCCCGGGTATGTCATAGGTATATATTCTATTAACCAGACTGATAATTGTTGAAAACTTTGGAGAGAGTACTTACTAGACTTGAGAATGATGGTCAAAGGGATTTTGGCTTTTTTAGTTGTGTTTAAGTTTTTAAAACAAGAATATTTTCATGTATTACTTGTTATAAATCGTTAAAAATATAGAGATGCCTGAGTAATTTTCATCTTTTTGTTAACAGGCATAGAATATTCCGTTTTCACCTGCATGCGGATGATTTTAAAACTTTGATAACTCATTGGGGTGTAGGAAAAAATATATTTCAAAATGTAGAATGAGGTGAGGGTCACATTCTTTGGCCACTTTTATCCCAATCAAGAATATGTAATCACTTGTGTTTTCTAGATGTTATAGTAAGAACCTTTCTAGCTTCCTTTTTAATGTTTGTATTCCTAGTACCAGTGACTAAAATTTTACTGTTGCTCTTAATATTCTTTAAAGTAGAACATTTAAATATTGCTAGTATTACATGAATATAGTAATCACTTGCTTAAATTATGTTACTCCAAAGAATAGGTGTTTTTTGATATGTAACTTTTTTTTTGTTTTTTTAAGAGATGTGAAAGCTGGAAACATTCTTCTTGGAGAAGATGGCTCAGTACAGATTGCAGGTAATGATTAGTATTTTTAAAATTTGATTTAATGGTCTGTAGAACCACATTACTTACCTTGTATGTTTTCTTAATCAGTATTCTCTCCTATTCCCTGGACCATCTCTCTTCAAGTGTCCTCTCTGGGCACATCATAGGATGCCACCAACTTCTCAACATATCTTCTCATACTCATCCTTCATTTCTGCTCTTAGACTTTTTTTCTGACCATTTTTTGTTTCCTTCCAACTAATCACTTCTTACTTCCATGAGGGTCTTCTGCTATGTGTTCTCATAGCATTCTGTACTTTCCTTTAAAGGAAAAATAGCTGAGGATCTTCACTGTGTTTAAAGAATAAATATGTTATATAGAGGTTGTACAGAGCTGCTTCTGTCCTGGGGGAAATTGAGTGTCAGTTAGGAAAAAGCACCTGAGGTGCTTTTGGTAGAGGTGTGCCTTTGGCGGTTTCAGAGCTGAAGGGATAAGAGTTTTAGTCCAGGGCCTGCCAGAAATGGCTATCCTGATGAAACACCCCCTCCTCCAGGCTGAGACTCCAGAACGACCGTACCCAGGGATTGTCTAGCAAGCAGATCATCTGAGAAAAACCTCAGCTTGGTCCCAGACTGCTAGAACAGTCAGGTGTTTGGCAGGAGGAAGATAATCACCCAAATCTTAAGTTATTTCTTCATCTTTAAGAAGATAATTTAGGCGAACATCTTCATATCCGTGAGGTAAGGAACTACTTTAACCAAGTCACATAAAGTTCTAATATAAAGGGAAAGATTGATAAATTTGACACCTTTAAAAGTAGCGACTTCTACTCATCAAAAGAGGAACAAATGGTTTTTTACTATTAACAGAGTAAAAAGGCAAACCACAGAGTAGAGAAGATATTTGCAGCATGAATAATTGTTAAAGGGCTCAAATGTAGAGTGTATAAAGAACTCATTGAGAAAAACAAAAAGCTCTAAAAAGTGGGCAGAAGACTGGCATAGTCACTTCCCAAATGAAGACATCCAAATATAAATGTAGTAAAAGATATTCAGCCTTACACTAGTAATTTGTTAAATGCAAAGTAAAATCACATTGTGATAACATGTTAAATTGGTTGGCCTGGCAAAAACACCTGACAGTACTAATTGTTGGTGTGGGTGTAAAGCAAGGAATAAATCTCATTTCTGATGATGGGAATGTAAATTGGTACAACCATTTTATTACAGTTGAAGATATACATACTGTAAGTCTTTGGCTCCTAGGTGTATAGCCTAGAGAAACTCATCTGTATGTGTGCCACAGTACTCATAATCATTATAAGTTTGAAGTAATCCCAGTGCCCTTTGTTAGTGAATGGATAAGTAAATTGTAGTTAATTTATATACTGGAATACTTTTTTTTTTGACACAGTGTCACTTTGTTGCCCAGGCTGGAGTGCAGTGGTGTGGGCAGTCTTGGCTCACTGCACCCTCTGCCTTCCAGATTCAAGAGATTCTCGTGCCTTAGTCTCCTAAGTAGCTGGGATTACAGGCATGTGCCACCCCACTTGACTAATTTTCGTATTTGTAGTAGAGACAAGGTTTCTTGATGTTGGCCAGGCTGGTCCTGAACTCCTGGCTTCACATGATCCACCCACCTTGCCCTTCCAAAGTGCTGGCGTTACAGGTGTGAGCCACCATGCCCAGCCTATACTGGAATACTATATAATGATGAAAATGGATAGAACTATAGCTACATATGAAAGAATTAATAAATCATAAAAATATATGGGAGATGGACTGAACATGGGTTTCCTTATCTAGTATGAATGGCACCGTAGCCAGCCACCTGCACAAACCAAGAATTTGGGAACAACTTTGCTCTCTGTCTCGCTTTTACTCATGTTGTCTGTCACCAGATCTTGCCAACACTGCCTCCTGACTCACTCTTTTTATTTTTTGTAGTGGTAAAATATACATAACATAAAATTGACTATCTTAACCATTTTTAAGTGTATGGTTCTATGGCATTAAATACATTCCTGTTGTCCAGCTGTCACCACCATCTGCCTTCAGAACTAGTTCATCTTACTTGACTGAAACTGTACCCACTAAATAGTAATTCCTCATTCCATCTCTCACCCCAGCTGTGGGTGACCACCATTCTCTTTTCTGTTTCCATGAATTTTAACTACTTTAAGCACCTAAGTGAACTCCTACAGTATTTGTCCTTTTGTGATTGACTTTATTTCATTTTGTATGTCTTTAAGGTTCATGTTCTAGTATATGTCAGAATTTCAGTACTTTCAAAAGCTGTATAATAATGCCATTGTATTTATATGCTGCATTTTGTTTATCCATTCATTCATCAGTGGGCATTTGAATTGCTTCCACCTTTGGCCATTGTAAATAATGCTGCTATGAACATGAGTGTGGAAAAATTTGTCTGAGTTTCTTGCTTTCATTTCTTTTGGGATATACCCATAAGTAGAATTGCTGGATCATATGGTTATTCCATGTTTAAGTTTTCGAGGTATTATTTTTCATGACAGCTGTGCCATTTTACATTCCCACCAAGAGTGTGCAGGAACCCCACCAAGAGCACACAGGAATCGAATTTCTCCACATCCTCACCAACACTTGTTAGTTTCTGGGGTTTTTTTTTTTCAGGTGGTAGCCATTCTAAGGGATGTAAAGTGGTATCTACCTCATTGTGATTGGATTTGTATTACTCTATTGATTAGTGATGTTGAACATCTTTTCATGTACTTATTGGCCATTTGTATATCTTCTTTGGAGAAATGACTACTTAATGCCTTTGCCCATTTTTAAATTGGAGTGTTTGTGGCTGTTGCTGAATTGTAGGAGTTCTTTACATATTTTGGATGTCAATCCCTTATCAGATGTATGATTTGCAAAATATATTCTCCCAGTCTGTGGGTTGCCTTTCATTCTGTTGATAGTCACCTTTGATGCACAAAAGTTTTAAAATTTTGATTATCTACTTTTTTTTTTGTTGCCTGGAATTTGGTATTATGTCTAAGAAATCATTGCTAACTCCAGTGTCATGAAGCTTTTCTCCTATGTTTTAAGAGTTTTATAGTTTAGGGGTTTCTAATTTTTTCACACCTTATTATAGATAGCACTAATTATAATATATTATAATTGCCTGATTCCACCTTCTGTATTTAGAAGTTGCACAAAAGGCTGAGGGGACCTTGTCTTCCTTGATGATTACTTTTTTTCTTTTTTTTTTTTTTTTTGAGATGGAGTTTCTCTCTTGTTGCCGAGGCTGGATTACAGTGGTGCAATCTCAGCTCACCGCCAAATTTCGCTTCAGGGGTTCTTCTGCCCCAGCCTCCCGGGAAGCTGGGATTATGGGCATGCACCACTACCCCCGGCTAATTTTGTATTTTTAGTAGAGAAGGGGTTTCTACCTGTTGGTCAGGCTGATCTCAAACTCCCGACCTCAGGTGATCCGCCTGTGTCAGCCTCAAAGTGCTGGGATTATAGGCATGAGCAACCGTGCTGGCCTGGTCATTACTGTTGATCCTGTCACATAGTAGGTACCAAAGTCCATCTTGTACTTTAACTGAAATTGTATTAACAAAGGAGCTAAGTGATTTTTTTTCACAATTAAGTTACTGTTTCTCTTTAGTTGGCAATTTAAAACAAAAGGCAAATGGCATTTTTGCTCTTTGGTTTCTGTTCTTAACTTTATAGTTGGATTGATTATGTTTCCTTGGCATTGTAGCTGTGCAGGTTGTTTAACAAGAATATTTTGGTATAGTGGATAGTCTGACTTACATTCCTTAGCTAAATATTTTAACTGATCTTCAGGGTTCACTAGCTGTGAACAAGCAGAGGTATACTAGCTGAGGTATACTAGCTGAATATCCAAAAATTCTGGATCATTATTAAGTTCTGCGTTTAAAATTCTGAATATTTTAAAACTACTTGAAGGTTTTTAGTAGGTTTTTAAAAAGTAAAAACTCTTTATAATTGAGCCTAAAAAATATGTTGTGTATAAGTTGTTTGAGTCTTTATCATATTTAAGTATTTTAAGGCACGGCTTCCTTTCTAGTTAGTGATAAAAATACCTAGTACTTATTGAGTGTTTAGTGTTAAAATATATTACAGGGACTATTCCAAGTATATTATTAATTCATTTAATCCTCAACAACAACCTTGTTGAGTAGGTACTGTTATTGCCTCCTTTTTATAGATGAAGAAATTGTAGCACAAAGATTGAAAATACCTGCCCAAGTTCAGCAGACTAGTGGCAGAGCTGAATGCACTGAATGCACTTTTTCCCCTTTCAAGTGCACTTTAAAATGTTTACTTTACTATTGTTGTTACAATTGGAACAACATTTTAAAGCTCTTAGAAATTTGCCAGTTTAGGAGCATTGAAAACTGTTATTATTTTAGAGAAAGGGTCTTGCTCTGTCATCCAGGCCGGAGTGCAGTGGGATGAATGTAGCTCACTGCAGCCTCCAACTCTTAGGCTCAAGCAGTCCTCCTGCCTCAGCCTCCCAAGTAGCTAGGACTACAGGTGCCCACCACCATCCATGCTCAGCTAATTTTTTATTTTTTATAGACATGGGGTCTCAACTTACTGTGTTTGTTGCCCAGGCTGGTCTCGAACTTTTGGCCTCAAGTGCTCCTCCTGCCTCAGCTTCCCAAAGTACTGGGATTACAGGGATGAGCCACTGTGCCCAGCCAAGATTATTGTTTTTTTTTTTTTTTAATTTTTCATAATTCTAAGTACATTTAGACAAGATTATTGTTTTTTAAACCTGTATAGACTTGTTATTTTTAAATTGTACTGTATAGATAAGCAATTATCTCGAATAAATTGCTTGAAAGTGGCAGAATTCATAGACTTCTGAATCTGGAATTTTAAAGTTTACTATGCTAAAGTTATCCTTCACACAATCAGTTTGTCCATAATTTATTGTATTTTCAAATTGAAAAAAAAAGTATAAAATAGAAATTATGAAAACAAATAAATTTGAAAATACAATAAATTATGGACAAATATGGGCTCATTTTACATAATGCAGAGTGTTCTCGAACAGACACAGAAGTGGAGTCAGAAAAGGTGTACAAAAGTTGGATAAGGTATATGAGAGCCTCACTATATTAAAGTTCTTTTGGTTGTATTGGAAATTATCACCGGCTGACTTAACAAAGCAGGAATTATTGAAATAAACTAGGAAGTACACAGAATAAAAAAATCGACTGAACAGCTAAGCCTCAGAATGGGCAGGAACCCAGTTGTGCTGGTGACCTTCAGGATGCTGTTAGCATGGCTCAGCTTCATTGACCCTTAGTTTCTTTGTCTGTCCATTCAAGCTGTACATTTCTAGATTTAAGATAGACCTACCTTGGATTAAGGTGTCTAACCCTGGCTCAAATCAAGTATGCCCAGGGGTCAAGGTGAGGGAGTACAGATACACACCCAGGGCTATTTACAGAAAAAGAGGGATCCTGATGAGACAAGCAGTCCTCCTTATCAGTGACTGGTACTTTGGCTTCAGTATTGTGGGATAAAATCTTTGTAGAGAAAATCCTGAGGCTTAGAGAAGTGAACTAAGTTTACCATTGTCATATACCTACTAAGAGGTGAAAGAAGTTAGGATATGTATTAAGAATTATGAACTTTAATTTATTTGGGGCCAAGTTCTTGAGAGCTCTTTGAATACTAAGTTAAAAAGGTTGAATTTCATTCTATAGGATTTTCTGAGCTGAAAGGGCCATGTCAAAGTGATAATTTAAAAATGAATGAATGAATGAATCTAATAATGGTATGTAAAATGGATTAGAGCAAGGAGGAAAATCTGAGAACATGATAACATGTGGGGGTGGAGAGGAATGGAATGAGGCACCTGCTAAACTATGTCTTTTTTTTTTTTTTTTTTTTTGCGAAGATGAACTCCTGGGCTCAAGCAAGCCTCCTGCCTTGGCCTCCCAAGAGTGTTGGGATTATAGGCGTGAGCCACTGCTCCCAGTCTAAGCTATGTCTTAATTTAGCCAAGAAGTTCAGCAAAAAGATGAGAAACTATCATGCTTCTTATCTTATATATAGGATGGTGACTACATTTTATTGTTTTTCTATTTATTTATGAGGGTTGATGCACTTTCATACAACCTTGCTGTTGTATTCTGTTTCAGACTTTGGGGTTAGTGCTTTTTTAGCAACTGGTGGTGATATTACCCGAAATAAAGTGAGAAAGACCTTTGTTGGCACCCCTTGTTGGATGGCACCTGAAGTTATGGAACAGGTACTGTGTCTTTTTTTCTGTTTTAAATGGGTTAGGGCTTTGTTATGAAACTGAGAAAACTTAAAGTGTTTGCTTTTCTTTGGCATACCAGGTTAGCTTTGGGAAACATGTCCCTGTTTCTTGGTTAGGACTTTAGTCCACCCTTGAAAACAAAACAACAAAAACACTCTAGGACTTTGCAAAGGATATATGAAACTCAGGAATAATATAATCAAGGTTTGTGTTAATTTTATTCATACAAATTAGACTAATTTTTACATCGAGATTTACTGCTGTGTTTCTTGAAGGACTGGTTGTGTCTATGTTTCCATTTCCCATTTCCTCTTCAAACAGTTGCAGTCTGGTGCCACGCATCCCATCATTTTAAGGAAATTCTGCTACTTCTCAAATCCAGAGCTCATTTCTTACTCCTTATCTTACTTGTCCTGTTGGTGATATTTGAAACTGTTGACCATGCCAACTTTATTCACGTTCCTAGCCTCCTTAATGTTGTTTCTTCATTCTTGTCTTGTTTGTCAAGCCATTCCTCTGACTTTGCTGGCTCTCATTCTCCTGAATGACACTGCTTCCCATGACCTTATTCCTGAGCTTTTCTCTTCTCTGACTGCAGACACTCACTAGGTATTCCCATTTGTGCTTCTTATTAATGATTTCTAAATTATGTCCAGTTTTTCCCCAAAACCTCCATATAGATATTTCTAGTTCTTAATAAGTGCTTCACATAAATGCCTTATAGGTATATCAAACTCAGTGTGCTACGAACTAAATTCATTTTTACTCTGTTTTAATCACCTGCATTCACCCTGTTAGTGAGGGAAGGATTCCCACTGTAAAGTTATGGGAATGGCTGAACGTACAACACCTGACATTGGACAGATGAAATTGACAGCCATCTCTTAGTCACATATACTCACAGCCTGGGGAGGAGGACCCTGCATGCCATGCTGCACCAGTGGGGTTGCACTCAGTGGCAGAATGAATGAGAAGGGGCTTTGGAGACGGGGTTTGTAGTACCAACAGAGTGTGATGGTCCTTGGTTTCCTTGAGAAGATATGATTGACTGACAGGGAGCTGAAACCTGCTTCTCAGGGCCAAGCAGGAACTGTACCTGGTCATTTGCTAAGGAGGATTGTTGGGCTAGGAGGCATTCTCTGCGAGAGCAGAGTGGAGAGGGGAACTTGTACTTAGGTCACTAAAGGCCCTTCAGTTTTACCAGAGGACAAGGCAGCACATACTATTGATCCTTACTTTTAGGCCTTTCAGACTACACACTTCCCAAACCTATTTCTCCTATATTGCTTAGGATAGAAAATTAAAATTTATAGCCACATAATGTGCTGGTGACAGTGTATAAGTAGAGAAATTTGGCAACATATTCACTCTAAAAAGTTTAAAAGTATTCACAATCTTTGTAACTTTTTCATTGTGGAAATTAAGGTGCCATAATGTAGCTCCTTAGGAAAACAAAAAAGCTACCCCACTACAAAACATTTTGTTTTCGTTCTTTCCAGTATTTTACTGTTTGTAAAAGTTTTAGGACTCATGAGCAATTTTGTTTTTTTCTTCATGTTTTGTCACAAATGTTTCTTATATGTTCATATAGTATTAATGAATATTACTTTTAACTGACTAATTTTTTAAAATATACTATACTTAACAGTTTCTTCACTGTGGGTGAACATTCAGGTTGTGTCTTTATTTTTTCTATTACCAAATATAGTTAGCTTTTGCCTACTTTACTGGTTTAATGCTTATGAACACTTTCATTGTTCTTGGTACACATTAGAAGCTAGCTTTTTTGTTTGTTTATTTTTAGAGACAGCCTTGCTCTCTCACTCACTCCGGAGTACAGTGGTGCCACCATGGCTCATTGCAGCCTTCAGCTCCTGGGCTCAAGCTAGCCTCCCATGTAGCTGGACTGCAGGTGTACATCATCACTCCTAGCTAATTTAAAAAATATTTTTTTGTGGAGATGGGGTCTCACCATGTTGCCCAGGCTGGTCTTGAACTCCTGGCTTCAAGCCCACCTAATCCTCCCACCTCAGCCTCTCACAGTGCTAGGATTAGAGGCATGAACCACTGTGCCTGGCCTCAGAATCTAACTTTTGAAAGTCCTTTTATGCTGATAAAAAATAATCATGCAAATCTGTTCTTGCAGGTCCGAGGTTATGATTTCAAAGCTGATATTTGGAGTTTTGGAATTACAGCAATTGAATTGGCCACAGGGGCAGCTCCTTATCATAAATATCCACCAATGAAGGTGAGGTTCATATTCCAAATACTACCCCAGCTCAGGTCCCAATTCCTTTTCAGAACCATTTGCCAGTCTTTTAATTTTGTGTGTGTGTGTGTGTGTGTGTGTGTGTGTGGCAAAATACACATACCATAAAATTGACCTTTAACTTTAAATAGTCATCTTTAACTATTTTGAGTGTATAGTTCAGTGGTATTAAATGCATTCATAATGTTGTGCAGTTATCACTATCATCTATATCCAAACTCTTTTCATTTGAAAACTGGAACTCCGTACCCATTAAATAGTAACTCTTGATTCCCATTCTTCTCAGCCCCTTGTTTGTCTCTACGATTTGACTACTCTCAATACCTCATATAAGTGGAATCACACAATGTTTATCTTTACATGACTGGTATTTCACTTAGCATAATGTCCCCAAAGTTCATCCATGTTGTAGTATATTGCAGAATTTTCTTGCTTTTTAGTGCTGAATAATATTCCGTTGTGTGCGTGTCTTGAGAAGCTAACCATCTACAGCATATTATTTATGTGAAATACACATAATAATTCTGGGTTTTAAACAGTTGATTTAGATAGAAAATAAAATGTTATATGTTGGTATGGGGTGCCTATTATGGAAAAATCTTGGCCACAATAGTTAAACTTTACTGAGTCATCACAAGTTTATAGTATACTGAAAATTCTTACAGGTCTTAATGCTGACACTGCAGAATGATCCTCCTTCTTTGGAAACTGGTGTTCAAGATAAAGAAATGCTGAAAAAATACGGAAAATCATTTAGAAAAATGATTTCATTGTGCCTTCAAAAAGATCCAGAAAAAAGGTAAAACATAAGAAAAAGTTTACTTTTCTCTCTAATAAGTAAAATATCGTGAAGAAGTCTAAGAATCACACGCATGTATGTACAGGAAATTATTTGTACATATTCAAATGAACTAAATGTAAACTTTAAGAAAGTATACAGAGACCATTATACTAGATTGGAAATGATTTCTGCCCTCTTTGTAGCATACAGTGTACCCTAAATAGCTTTTTCCTGATTAATTCCTTATAAAGTTGTACATTGTGAATTCTGTATTAATAAATGCCAAATTAGTCGAGAGGTTTGTTTTCAATTTGCATTTAAAATTTATAAATGGATGTCTTAATGCCATTTACAGTATTAATAAAGGAAAGACACATAGAAAATTTATATTTAGTATCAAATAATCATATTTATTTCCATGTTAGAAAAGTATTTTAGTAAGTGGACCAAAAATTCAGATAGCTTCCTTATCAATATTAGATTGAATGGCAAGTAAGCAAATAAATAAGAACATCTAATGTGTGTAGCTTCGTGAATGAAACATAATCGTAGAATGTTGGGCACAACCTTTTATTTTTGAAGTCACCTGGTACTTAGTCATAGGGGTAGGACTTGAATCTCAAAGTTCTGATTCCTAATTTAGGGCTCTTTTTCTTCTGAATCTTATTTGTCTGTTTTACATATATATTCCACCCAGCTTCTAAGCACTGAATTCTTTAATTTTTGTTTCTCTAAAGATCATTAAAAGGGAAAGACTCTGATGTTGTTGATCACATCTGTAGCATATGTAATAAGGCTTCAGAATTTATTGTTGGAAATGTTGGAAAGGGCCAGAAAAACAGGTAGCAAAATTTATACCTGTGTTTTATAGTTTTTTTTTTCCTGTTTCGGAGTAAACGGTTAAAAAAGACAGGGAACACTTTCTTTTACCAAATTAGTTGATTAAAGAAACAAAATTCTCTTGTTACAAATAACAAGAAATGCCAGATAAAATCTATCCAACTTAAAGATTCTCAGATGCCAGAAATAATGAGGAAAGCCTTAAATTAAAGAAGAAATAATTGTGAACAAACCCTGTGGCTGTCTTCAGTGGGTCACTATTCATTCTGATAACCTACTGATTTGGATTTGTAACTCCCATGTGAAGACTGGAATTGAGATCTCGGGCCCACCCTGTGGGGAGTTTGAACTGAGATTCTTCTTAAAAGTAAGAACTTCAGATGTCTGTATCCTCAGTAAAAGGATAGACAAGAATGAAAACTGTCAGTCATCACTAACAGAAAACAAAAATCTCTCCTGAATAATCAAGCCCTTCAACCTGGACATTCTACAGGTTTAGAGTCTATGTACTACCTATATTATCCGGGAACCCACAGGATTAGAAAGTTAAAAAAACAAATCACTTTTATTTTTGTCAGAAGCAGTCACAGAGCTGCACTGGAAGAACACTTAAACTCTAGCTCCCATTGGATTCCTGAACATAATGCCCCACTGTAAGATAAGGTCACAATCCAAAATTAAGAAACACACAGTGAAACAATACATTATGAACTAGTTAACAGACACAAGCAGAAGGATTAGTGCCCCAAGAGATTTAGGTAATACAGTGATAATCTGAAAAGATTAAAAAATTAAGTATATTGAAAATAATTAAAATCATAAGAGAAGAAATCAAAACCACAAGAAAAGACTGTGACTATGACAAAAGAACTAAATAGCAATGCCAGAAATGAAAAATACAGTAATTAGTGTTTGAAACTTTTTATGAGTGTGAGCTAGACTTACTGACTCACTTCTGGTGAGTAGAGTATGAAAAGGAAAAATAGCAACTTTTAATGCACCTCCTTTACCAAATGACCAAGGTTAACATCACTATTAATAAGACATTGATAATACTGATATACCTCTTGATACAGTGCAACAAGATGAGCACATAACCAGTGAGGTATTCTTCCTCCAAATCTGTAACTTCAGTCTAGAATGAGAAAACATCAGACAAACCCACTTAAGGAATATGCAGCAAAATACCTGACCAGCACTCTTCAAAACTGTCAAGGAGAAGAAACTAAGAAACTGTCACAGATTAGAGGAAATTAAGATGACATGAAGACTGAATGCAACAGACTGTCCTGTACTAGATCCTGGCACAGAAAAAGGACATTCGTGGAAAAACTGGAGAAATTGAATAAGTCTGTAGTTTACTTAATAGTATTGTACCAATGTTGATATTTTAGTCTATTTCCTTATTGTAGCATGGTTATGTAAAAGGTTAACAATAGCAGAAAGTGGTGAAGGGCATATAGGAACGCGGTACTAGCTTTGCAGCTCTGCTGTAAGTCTAAAATTATTATAAAACTTTTTTTTAAAGTAAAAACCTGGAAGCTATAGAAAATCTATTCTAGTTTGTAAACCGAAATTAAATTTTGTTTAGAACATTGCTAAGTTAAATAACACACACAGTGGACTGGTTAAACAAAACAACCAGTAAAACAAAAAAGAGATTATTTACTCATCAAGTACCAGGCACTGTGGTAAACACTTAACATATATCATTTAATTCTCACAGGAATCCTTTGAGGATAGCACTATTATTTTCTTTATTTTACAGATGAAGAAACTGAATCACAGAGAGGTTAAGTAACCTTCTCCAAAGTCACACAGCTAATAAATGATGAAATCAGAATTCCAACCCATGCAATTGGACTAGAGTGCCCATTCAAATCAGACTACACTATACTGAGGAGATTGCTCAGAATGTAGCACAGAAAGATTAAAGAGGGAAATATGAAAAAAAAGATTAACATTTGGAGGGTAGAATGAGACGGTTCAGTATGTTTGTGTGTATGTACACACACACACACACACACACACACACACACACGTACATGTACGTATATGTGAACTTACCAAGAGAGACTAGAGAGAACGTAGAATAAGCAATATTTAAAGAAATAATAGCTGAGATTTTTCAGAGTTGATGAAAGACCTATATTCTCAGAGTAAAGAACTATCCCCTCAGAATTCCAATTCCCCTTCTTCCACTTGTACATGTCGTTGTGAAAATGCTGGACACAAAGCAAAGACAAGCTCCTAAATGCAACCTCGAGGAACAGATTACCTACTGAGGATTAGCAGGTTGACAGCCACTTCCTCAATAACACAACCGTTGAAGCCAGCATTTAGTGAAATGCTCAGAGAAGATACAGTCATGTGTCACTCAAAGATGGGGATACGTTCTGTGATACGTGTATGAGGCAGTTTTGTCATTGTGTGAACATCGTGCAGTGTGCTTACAGAAACCTAGGTGGTACAGCCTACTGTGTGCCTAGGCTGTTTAGTGTAGCCTGTTGCTCTGACTGCTGTCAGATGCCCAGTACGTTTTTGGCCAAAGCATTAAGAGGCTCATGACTGTCCCTTTAACCCAGAGTTCTCCAGCTAGTCAAGCTATCACTCAAGAATAAGCTTGAAATTATTTTGCACACATAAATTGAGTTTTCCAGTTACGTTGTATAACTTACAGAACCCATATGTTGTACTTTAGAAAGAAGGAAATGAAGTCATACGAAAGGAATGAATAATAAGCAATGTTGAACAATCACATGGTTTTTTTTTTGTTTTTTTTTGCGGGGGATGGAGTTTCGCTCTTGTTACCCAGGCTGGAGTGCAATGGCGCGATCTCGGCTCACCGCAACCTCCGCCTCCTGGGTTCAGGCAATTCTCCTGCCTCAGCCTCCTGAGTAGCTGGGATTACAGGCACACGCCACCATGCCCGGCTAATTTTTTGTATTTTTAGTAGAGACGGGGTTTCACCGTGTTGACCAGGATGGTCTCGATCTCTTGACCTCGTGATCCACCCACCTCGGCCTCCCAAAGTGCTGGGATTACAGGCTTGAGCCACCGCGCCCAGCCCACAATCACATTGTTGAACATACTGAAATCTTGAGTGAATGGGAAAATAAGAATGATAATGTAGAATTTCAGTTTGCATAGCACTTTCACATTTATTCAGTTTCTTAAGCTTTATAATCACCTGAGGTGCTGGTTCTTAAACTTGAATGCATATTGGAATTACTTGGTGAGTTTTAAAAATTAAGGCAATTAAAGATTCTGCTTTATTTTATTTTATTTTTATTTTTTATTTTATTTATTTATTTTTTTTGAGATGGAGTTTCACTCTTGTTACCCAGGCTGGAGTGCAATGGCGCGATCTCAGCTCACCGCAACCTCCGCCTCCTGGGTTCAGGCAATTCTCCTGCCTCAGCCTCCCGAGTAGCTGGGATTACAGGCACGTGCCACCATGCCCAGCTAATTTTTTGTGGTTTTAGTAGAGACAGGGTTTCACCATGTTGACCAGGATGGTCTCGATCTCTTGGACCTTGTGATCCACCCGCCTCAGCCTCCCAAAGTGCTGGGATTACAGGCGTGAGCCACCGTGCCCAGCCAATTTTATTATTTTTTTAAATTGTACTTTAAGTTCTGGGATACATGTGCAGAATGTGCAGGTTTGTTACATAGGTATACACTTACATGAGGGTTTGTTGCACCCATCAACCTGTCATCTACGTTAGGTATTTCTCCTAATGCTATCCCTCCCCTAGACCTCCACCCCCCGACAGGCCCTGGTGATGTTACCCTCCCTGTGTCCATGTGTTCTTTTTTTTTTTTCCCCCTATTTATTTATTTTATTGCATTTTAGGTTTTTGGGGTACATGTGAAGAACATGCAAAATTGTTGCATAGGTACACACGTGGCAGTATGATTTGCTGCCTTCCTCCCCATCACCTACATCTGGCATTTCTCCCCATGCTGTCTCTCCCCAGCTCCCCACTCCCCACTGTCCCTCCCCTGTTTCCCCCCAACTGACCCCAGTGTGTAGTGCTCCCCTCCCTGTGTCCATGTGTTCTCATTGTTCAACACCCACCTATGAGTGAACAGGCAGTGTTTGACCTTCTGCTCTTCTGTCAGTTTGCTGAGAATGATGGTTTCCAGGTTCATCCATGTCCCTACAAATGACCCAA